TCAACAGATGAGAAATTCTTTATTTCAGAAAAAAATATAAATAATAAATGTTTTTATTCATGAACAAGTGGAAATTTAAAATTAATTATGACATACTATCTTCCTTTACAAGATTTTATTATAATATCAATTAGGTAACAAGTTTATCCAGATCAATCTGTTTAGAATCTAAAAAAAAAAATTTACCAGAATATAAATATAACTGATTTAAGGTTACATTAAAATTTTAAAAAATAATAATAATTAAAATGTTAATAATTACCATTATCATTACCAATAATTGTCACCTTATTAGAATTTACAGCTTTAGGAAGATCTGTAAATTTTAATAGTCTGCTGGCATAAACAGCATTTGGATGAATTGTTGTAGCTATTGTTGAAGGATCATATGAAATTTCGTCCATTTTATCAAACATTTTTCTAATTGATTTTAATTCATCAAGCTCTTTAGAATATTGATAATATTTATTTTTAGTTCCATTTATTAAACCATCATCAAATGAATCATTCCAAAAATGAATAATATCAACAATTTCTTCGGCAGATGGACGTTCATCTGGATTAGCATTCATGCATATGTACGCTAATTCAATATAGAACTTTGGTGTGTTGTTTGAGAATCCAGGTCTTGCTCCTTCACACACTTTCATTGCAAGACCCGCATCATGTGCAAGATTACTGAATGGTTGTTGACCAGTTGATATTACAGACATCAGAACTCCAAAACTATATATATCTGATGCCATAGTATATGGTTTCTTTCCTAAAACTTCCGGTGCAACATATGGCAATACTCCAAATATATCATCTTTGTTTGACAGTGATATTTGAGCTGGACAAGATAATCTTAAGTCTGAAATATATGAATTAATGTGAGCACCACCAGATTTAGTTTGAAGAACATTGCCACTATGAAGATTATGATGGATAACATTTTTTTGATGAATGTTTTTTAAACCTTCAATGATTTGATAAAGGATTGTAATTTTATTCACCCATTTTAACTTTTTAAAATCTTTTGTTAAAGAATTTTGAAGATTTCCATCTTTCATATAATGCATTACAAATATATACTCATTTGTAATCGGATCTTGTGTTAATCCATAAATTTGAATTATATCTGATTTACTATGGAACTTGACATAATTTTTAAACTAAAAAAAAAAAATAAAATATTATTATTTAATTTCAACAATAATAATCAATATAAATGAATTAGTAAACAAATAATTTACCTCATTAAGAAATGCATCAGGAATATTCTGCAAATTATGTAACTTTTTTAATGCCACGATCCTATCTTTACTACTTCTTTTACCATTAGATATATACTTCATACCATTTATCCAAGTAGCTTTATATATAGTTGCAAAACCACCTTCACCTATCTCTTCAATATTTGTTAGATCATTATAAGGAATCCATTGAAGATAATATTCATTAGCATATTCTTTCGCAAAAAGTTGCGAACTTTTAATCGTTTCATCTATGATTTCATCACCACTACTCCACTCTTCGGTTAATAGCACTGGGTCACATGATTGACACCACGAAACATTAGTATTAAATCTATTACAAGTTGAACATTTCTCATATTTTTCCTTTCTTTCATCTGCATAAGCATCATAATTGCTTGTGTCGGTAGAAGCATTATCATGTTCTTTATCCATTTTAAAATTTGCCAAGTTTTTAGCCACAAATTCTAATTTTAGAGATCAATACGATTAATATGAGTTTGAAAAAAACTAATAATTTTTTTTCCCTAATTAGGCAATAATCTTGGTGTAATCTAAAAAAATGCCTTATTGCCTAATTCAAATGATGATTTAAATCGTCAAATATTCTAAAATCCAAAATTGAAGCATGCAAAGGAAACAACACTCCTAAAAATCTTGGCAATTGGTACCACCCTTCAAAAATTCACATCATAACTTGGTTCCTGATCCTGAAGATGTTTATTATTATCAATTTTTTTTTCTGGAGACCAAAACTTATAATGGCGAAACTAGGTGCTTGTTTAATTTATGGACTTAAGAGAAATGTGTTGCTATGTAGCTAGAGCTACTATTGTGATAAACGTAAAACTAGTTTTTGTTCTCATGATGACAGGTATTATTAAAATCACCAGAGAATATTTACTTAGGTATTTATTTATATTTTATTATGAACATTACAGTCAGGTTTTTTTCCAAATTTGGAAATCGATTCTAGAAAAAATTTGTCGATCAATTCATATAACAAATGGTTTAACGTGATACCTCCATAAAATTTTATTAAAAAAATTTGTATTATAATAGTTGAAACAAATTCTTTCGAATATATACTTTAAGGATCACAGAAAAATTCACAAGGTACATGAAGATATTATTTGAAGAAAATTTCATTTTTTTAGTTCTTTTAAGCATAAATTTATAAATTTATGTACATTAGAAAAAATATTTTTTTGTTTTTTTAATACATATACCTTAATATTTATTTAAGATGGCGAATTCAAGACCAGCTGGTGAATTACCTTGTCTATTTAAAGCCCTTGCTAGAAAATACCCAGAAAGTTTGTTATTATGTGAAACAAAAGAAAATCAAATATGGAGATTTGCAGCAGTTAAAAGAATAAATATCATGGCTAAATATTTTCCTGAATTGTTTTTATTAATTGATTTTTTAGAGGATTATTCATTATGTCAAAAACATTATAATCAAGTTGTTGCTAAAGATCTTTTACTTAAGAATTTAAAAAAAAACAGATACATTAATAACTTTAGAAGAAACAGAAGAAAATAATCAAAGAAAAAGAATAAGACATGAGGCTCAAGTTACTTTACCAGACCCAGAAGTCATAAAGCTTACAAGAGAGTCGTCAGATACTCAAAAAAAAAATAGAAGAATCAGAAAGACAGAGAATATATTACATTGACATTATCAAGAAATATGAACAAATAATTGAAGAGCTAAAAGATAAAAATACAAGGTTACTATCTGAAAATGAAAAGCTAAAAGAGAAATTAAATACAACATTTGATGATCAACAGTCAAGAATTGATTCCATTACAATAATTGCTCAGAAAGAATGTAAAAATTTATATGACGATATCATTAACTTAATTAATGATAAGGAATGATTTAGTTTAAATAGTCTTTTAGAGTATTCTACTTCTGAATGGCTTTTTAAACAAAATCCTGTTATTGTTAAATTTCTGGAAACTCTCCTGTTTTGTGATAATGATAATGACAATCAACTTAACAAAGAAAAACTTTTTAAATGTGCTGTGGCAATTGATGCTATTTATGGAGCAAGGCATTTAAAATATGTGTCTGCAACCAATTTAGCATCATCAGCAGTTAAATATTCAATAGCCAAATCAAGAAAAATAATTGATATTGATAATCATTTCTTAAGTTCTGGTGGTTTCAACAAATTTATTCAGTGGCAAGAAGATTTAGCTCACAAAGCTACACCACTTTCAAATGGTTTATTATTTTTGGCATTTGACAATGAACAAAAGGGACAAAAAAACTACTTGGACCATGGAAATAATACAGTAATTTTCCATAATGTTACAAGTTTTATTTCATTTAATTTTGATCTGTAACAATCCTCAAAATAATATGTCACACAAATGGAATTCATATTTTTTTTTATCATTTAAGTTACTTGGCAATCGGGATTTTTGGTTAAAGAATTATACATATTATTATCATTATTATTTTTATTAAGAAAAGTGGATATTATATTGTTATGTTATATTGTGAGGAATATAATCATATTATTATTTTATTTATATTATTTATAATTAAGAAGTTATCTTTATGATCAATACTTTCCGGGAAGTCTATAAGCTTCCATACAATATATAGATTATATATTTCTTTATTTCTTTATGATTTATATTTGTATTTTAAGAATTGTATTTTTATTATTTAAAGATGTAAATTTCAAACAAATAAAGATAACTTTTTTATAATTTTACAACAATAAAATTATCAGTGTTAAATAAATATCTAAATGTTTGTAAATAATCATGATAATTATTTGAACGTTTACATGATCCCACTAATAATATACAGGTTATTGAAGACCCTTGGTTACATCAAAATTAAATTCATTACAGATTCAAGAACTTTTTGAAATCACACCAGATATGCAAGCATTGCTTGATAAGGAACTTTGAGATTATCTATCTGTTATCTTATATGCATCCTGCAACAATACTTAATTTATCTATCAAACTTTATTATGCATCAATAGACTGCAGAAAAGTAATTGTAGGTGGTGGAGTCTTTGTACCCATTATTTCTCACAAGAAATCTGCTTGATCTTGGGTTCTTATGCTTACTGTACTCATGCAATCTATGATTATTTTCTATTTTCAAATAAAGATAATGAGTGAAAATAATGCATTTTGCTGTTGAACTTGAAAACAAAATGAGGGTAAAAACTTACTTTCAGCCTCCACACATTAGCCAACATCCTGATAAGATATTTTATTTTTTCAACTGTAACTGGCACCTCAAGGAGCTTCTCTTGGCTTAATATTGCCACATACCCTTTAGCAGTGTTGTGCAATTGGAACATTGTAATGCTATTGGAGTGTTCCAATGTAGATATCTTCAATTGATATTAACTAATAAAATTCGTGTGTATGACACTATAATTGAATTTCATTGGTTAACTTCATTTGGAATGTTCCAATTCCAATTGGAATTTATTAGAATGCTCCAATGAAATTTTATTGGAACCATAAATGGCACAACGCTGCCCTTTAGGACTACTCATTTACAAAACTTGCAATTTGAGACCTACAAGTCAAATCAAATCAGTTTACTTTGGAAAAAGTGCTAAAGACTGCAGATTAATTATTTACTTACCCATGTGAAGCATGCCAGCAACTCATAGTTTTCTTACTTTTGTTTCTTCGAAATGAGCTTGTTCACTCAGGTATACAATGATGTCATGCATAGCTTTCGTTAGTTTAAACCCATCAGTCAACAATTTGGTTGCATCAAACTTCTTGGGCCACTTCAATTGCTCCATACTCAGCCCCATCAATATACATTTGGAGTATCCCATCCATCTGATATACCATCTTTTTATGTTTTGGTTTTTTGTGATGTGTACATGTTCTCCTCCAGTTTTTTCTCATGGCTACAGCTATACTTGAGAATTCCTTTCTATAAAAGAAGTAAAGACTAGTGCCATAAAGGTAGTAATTGTATTTATGGCATATAAAAAGTGGTTGCAATTACCTTTGCGACCACTTTTGCAACCATACTTTTTCCTTTTTTGGATTACAGCACTAGTCTTTAGAAAGAAGTAAATCAAAGAATCTAATAATACACAGAAGTAGTTATGACAATTACAGGAGACATGTACCTGACCGTTTCCAATCCAATCACATCAGAGAGACCATGATTGACAATAAGGGACCACACATTTATGTCATACCAGGACTTGAGATGTTGCTTTTGCAGTGTTTCATTAGGGTCTTCATAATATGTAAGACTTTTGGTAATAAATAAAAATATAAGTTATTAAGACTTTGTAATGACATTGCTAATAAAAAATAAATACACACAACTTCCTCATCACAATTTCAGCCCATTCAGCATTGTAATGTTCCACTTGATCATAAGGCTCATTCCTATCTTTAAAGGAAGTTTCTTCTAAAATCTTTCATAATTCATTTGTAGTTCTAACCTGAAATTAATAATAATATTAAGTTTGAACAAATGGAAAAAAAGCCAGTTATCTTCAACTTACATCTGAGAATCACATCATAGATGCTGCAAAAGAATGATCGACCTCTGGCAATTTTTTGATTGCATGTTGGATTTCATTTTGTTCTTCAGCTGTAAATAAAGACTCTACTTCCTGATCATCAAGATTAATAATCCATGAATGTAAGAATGATTCAACTGGTTGTTCCTTGCAATGTTCGAAAATAGTATCCTCAATGCACTTTCCAGATGAGAGAATCCATTTTTGAGCTTTACTCATTTTTTTGTATAATTCATAAAAATCCTCAAGCTGTGATGATGATAATAATACAGGAAGGTTCTGATCTTCAATATCACTTGTGTTATGAAAGGAAGTGAAATCATGAATACAAGAAAATTGAAAAAAATTCAATAAAAGAACTATTATAATACCTTTGTATGTAGTCCAAATCATCGCCCTCAGACTCAGATTCCTCAAATGTGGAAGACATCATGTAACATGTCAATTTGCACTTCTAAAAAAGAACCATACAGCCATACTGGTTAGAAATTATTGATAATTATATCTATGATTTCAATTTCTATGGATAATCAGAATTTGAAAGAAGAATTCTCAATGCAAACTACCACACCTCATCCTCAGATGCTAAAAATGGATTGTTTTTGATTGCTTCTTGGCTTGATCAAAATGAGTGTCTTGGGACTGGAACATACTCTAGCTCTTGAATCTACTCTAGCCCTTGAACTTATCTTGATTAATAATAATAAAATATAAATATGCTCGACCTTAAAATTCAAAGGGAGTTCATGAGCAAGGGTGTGTTGTTTTGATAACAAGCTTAATGCTTCCCTGTATAACTTATGTTCAGTTCCTTTGTCATATGTAAAGTCATCAGCCTTTGCTCTGTGTTGAAGAAAAGTAAGTAGTGACCAAGTTTTACTTTTGTTAAAAAAATTTTCTATTATATCCTGATAGCTTGATTGTAATATTATATTATGAAATATTTTTTACTTAGAAAAATTCTATATTAAAAAAAATCTACCCAAATTTGCAAAAAAAAATTTTTTTGTTTTCATGAAATTCTGCACCTTGTAGATCAGATGAAAAATATTAATTCGTAATCCGTGAAACAACTGCAAAAATTTGCCGATCATTAATATGTTTTTGTGGTGATAATAAACATTATAATTTTCAGGAGTTTTGAGAATCTGACATTACCTCACGTGACCAACGTGAGTCAAGAAAATTACATGACCACGATAATTTTTATTTT